TGAGTTTCATCCTAGAGGCATGGAATTGTTAAATGTTCTCTGAAATGGATGATGAAATGAAATCCAAGGCCATGGCATAATTTGACCTTTGTGCATATTTTGCTAAGTGCCAGAGAGAGTCAATGGATTACATGGTCAAGAAAATGTAATAGGCTATTTACGCTTAAAATTGAACTTTCTAAAGAGTCGAAAAGATGGAAAGCAAAAGATTTTGATTTGCATTTACTATGATGAGAGAAAAGCTTAAACATGTCATATACAGGTAACCAACCCCAAACCCAAAAATGGTTCTTTGGCCCACTTGGGTTTCATATGCTAAAGGGGGTAAAGCTAGAACTAGAGACTAAGAAAGGCTAATCTTATACCTATTTGTATTGCTACTGTAGCATGTAATTTATACAACTCCACCTAAAAATAGGCTGTCATCACTACCATTACTATTAGTTTTATTATTACTCTTGTTGCTGTTGCTTCTGCTGTTATTGCTATTGCAAGTCTTCTGATAATGAAACTTATCTCCTTGGGGAGCCATTCCTTACACCTAAAATTGTTCGTCCAAGAGCCTGTAATTGTTAACTGAATTGGTATTATTTGCTCACCAACCCCATTAGGGTGATGAAATATGTTAAGAATAATGACAATTGGAGCCATAGATTTGTACCAGTTATAACCAAGGATTAAAGCATCAGCATCAGGTATTGTATTAGACAATTCAGATGCAGATACGAATATTGATACACTTGGGAAATGTATGGATATAGACAAAAAATATGAAAATACATGGATATGTTAGGAAAATACATACAAATTCTACAAACACATTAATAACACTAAATTTAAGACCAAAATAGTCACAAATAGTATATAAATACATAGAATATATATTTTAATACATGAAGAAATATATTATAATAAATATACCAGGATGTGTAGATATTATATAATTTTATTTCTAGTGCATCAATCAAGACCAAGGTTTTAGATACGATACGCCCAACTTTAAAATTTCGATACAAGATTCAATGGAAAATCGACAGTATCATCATTTTTCCATTGTATCAGGGGGATATTGGGGTTGTATCTCAGCATAATTGAAAAAGGGGGGGGGGGGGGGGGGGGGGGGGGGAAGCAAGCTTCTTTCCCCTTAAATAAGCATTCTTTCACCCCAAATGACTATAAAACTCCAATGCTCATTCCTAGAGATATTGAAATTTAGAAACAAGCGTGAATTGTTAATTTTTTTAAGATTTTTTAAATATATAAAAATATAAAATATAAAGACTTAATATGTTTTCAATCTATGGATTTATCTATCACATCCATAGAGATATTGAAATTTCTTCTTTTATATATATTTTTTTATTTTTTATATTTTTAGAGTTAAAACATAAATAATAATTAATTATATTTTACCATTTGATAATAATGATTGATTATATTACAGTTTTATGGATGATCTATAATATCCACAACGCAATTGAAATTTTTTCTTTAATAATTATTTTTTTTTTACTTTTATATTTTTAGAATTAAAAATAAATAATAATTAATTAAAATTTATCATTTGATCACAATGGTTGAATATATTATAATTCTATGGATGATCTATCATATCCACCAATCAATTGAAATTTATTCTTTAATGACTAATTTTGAATATATTATATAATGTTTATTTATTTTTATTTTTATTTTTCTAAATTTTAAAAATAAAAAATAAATATTAATTATTTAAATAATAAATAATTATTAATTATATTTTTATTTAGAAATGCCAATGAATGCTTTATGGTTAGATAGGAGAGTTGGGTTTTTTCCATCCTATAAAACTTACGAATTTTAATTTATAAATTATAGTTAAGCATAGGTTTTTAATGAAATTATAATTAACTACAATGTATTTATTTGTAAAACCATTAAAATTATTTCATTATTCCATTATTACTAAAATGATTTTTAATTCATAATTTTTAATTACTAAAATTATAATTTTTAGTAATTTTTAGTAATTATAATTCATAATCCATTATATACAAATTCATAATTTTTAATTACTAAAATAATTATTCCATTATTAATATTTTATTTTTATAATATGAAATAAAAAATCATTTTTTTAAATAAATGTAGATTAGTGGATTTGATAAATTCAATTTAATATTATATTCTTCAATATTTTTATTTGTTGTAAATAATAAATATATTGTTACTAATTATTAATGTAAACTAAATTATACATTAATAATTTGTAAAATATATAAAATTTTATGATGCATATAATGTGGAAATTTATAAATTTTAAGTATTAAAATAATTATTCTTTTATTAATATTTTATTTGTATAAATTTCTTGATATTAAAAATCATCTTTTTATGTAAATGTGGATTTGGTAGATTATTTGTGATCTTAGTTTATAAATTACTATTTTTGAATATCATTGTTTTGAGTAGTTAGAGTTATTAAATATAAATGTGTTTTTTTATTTAAATTGCATGTAAACACAAAAAGATAATAAAATTTATTTTATTTTATTTAGTACTACAAGATACACAGCTTGATGGTTTAGAGGCACACCATAAGTTGTTGCGCTTTGGGTGACCAGAGTTCAAATCACTATGTTACGTTTTCGTAGAGGATGTGGTGTATCGTGCATATCGACCCGTACGGTGTGCATCGATTGATACAATGCAATACAGGTTAATACACATCCGTATCAGGTCAATATAAACAACGTGCAGATACGCTAGTGTATCCCGTATCACAGTTGCTTGATATCGATATGATATGTGCCCATATCAGACGTATTGATATTTAAATCCTTGTTTATAACTAGTCCCATCACCTTGAATAGCATTCTTTGTCATCAAAGATCAAACTCCTACTATGGCATGCTAAGTCCAGCATGATCATATGGTTTCAAAACATAACTAGATCTACTTACCTTTCAATCACACATGTGGACTAGTGATGATTGGTGCCTTTGGGGTGTGGCACATGCCCATGGTGGGGATTGGTGTGTGATCCTGACCTGCTTTGCAGTGGAACATTTTATTCAAACTAGAGAATAATTTCATACTAAGTGCGGGTAACTAAGTGTGTGTATAATTTAATTTGAAGTTTACTATTTAGTTATCAAAAATTAAATTAAAAAAACTAATATACGTCTTGCATCTTTTTAATTGACAATCTATTCTGATCTTTTTTTTTTGAAAATCATTATTAATTTATGTTCTTTTAATTTGATTTAAGATATTAAACGAGATCTTATTTGTAAACAATAACCCACTTTATTTAGTATTTATTATTTATCTAATAAATCTATTGAGTTATTTATTTTTAAAAGTTAAATTAGGTTTGTAACTAATAAAGTATTTTCTTTTTGAAAAAATCATTTAAAAACAAACATGGGTTTATGGTAATCTTTTAATAGGTTCCACCATTTGTATTTAATAGACTATGGATATGTGTTACGCTATTAAATAACTGTTTAGAGAATGTTTAGGAGTGAAACTACCCACTTTTGAATTACATTTCTTGAATTAATAGGATGCCACGTGTCTGAATAGTGGTAGTGGGCTGTGAGCTTTAGCAACAACTTCTCAAAAAATGCCACATGTCTAACTTTTCAAAAAAAATGAGAATGTCACATGTCTAAATGGTGGGGGGTTGTAGCCTAGTAGTGGGCTATGGAGTTTAATAGAAATTTCAAGAAAATGAGAAGGCTACTTGTCTAAATAGTGGTTGTGGGTTGTGGGTTTTAACAATTTTTCAAAAAATGTCACGTGTCTAGATTTCCAGAAAAATGAGAATGCCACATGTCTGAATGGTGGGGGTTGTAGCCTGAAGACCTTTCTTTAAAGGATTGCATTAAGTCATACTTTTCTTCCCCTAGAAATGCATGAGAAATTGTGAGAGGTTGGAAGCTATAAGTTGACAAGGTGTTGAAGTTGAAGCTGAAGGAGAGAGGTCTATTGAAGGTAAAAAAGAACCTAAAAGCGTATAGATGGAGAAAATTTTTCACCAAGGGAGGGGACAGGAATCTACTTTTAAACTCTTAATTGGTGGCATTATGTTTAATGGTTAAAGTAGCACTTTGCGAACTCTTTTTGAGTACCCTAGAAGTTAATTTTACTTGATCTTGAAGATGGATTTAGACTTTGATGCAGTTATATTATCATGGTCAAAAAATCATGACTTTCTGTAGAAGCCTTAGAAGATAGAATTTGGTAGGGAAAGACAAACATTCATATAAGACGGGTTAAAAGATATGCTAATGGCTTGGCAGTGGCAGGCTTGGCTAAGTAAGTGATTCAAAGACAACATGTGTATTGGTCACAATTGTAATAGTGTTAGGGTGTTTCGGTTTGTAATGGGTTTGTGGTTTCTCACAACTTCTTGTTGTAATCCTTTTATATTTTTTAATCTTTTTTTGAACAATAGCAAAAATAATTCATTGATAAGGAAGCAAATTAAGCACAAGTACAACAAGGAGAGATAACCTCTCTTATTTGTCCCAGAAAAAAAATATTTTTCTATGTTGCTGGTTAAAAGAAAGAGTAACATAGAAACACATCATTTTAAAGGAGAAGAATGTGCAAAGAAAACTAAACAGAAACTTGACAAAATCTTGGGTGGGGTCAACACCCTAGCCATCCTCTAGGGCAGGGTAATTGTTTAGAATGGTTTTCTTAGCTCCCATGAAGTGTTCGTATTCTAAAAGAAATCTAAGTTCTCACTTTCTTCCTCCCAACTTTGTGTTTTTCTATTTTGTGGTTGTTCTATTACTTTTCAATTAATGTTCAGTCTTATAACCATGATAGGATTTGTATTTATCCAATGGTTTAAAAGTCACTCCAAGGTTTCACAAGCAAGGATTAGGTGACAATGTTATATACTCAACCATTGAACAATTCACTTGTTGTATTGATGCTTCAACTGATCCTTTTTAAACATCTCAGTAGAATGGCAGGAACTGTTACAAACTTGACTCTTCTTGTAGGATACTTTAAAAGGCTTTAGGTCATTGATGGCATTCAGGTTCTTTGACAATATGGGTTGTTGTGAGATCATTTGTCCCTCAGTTCATAGAGAAAACATTTTGTTAGCATTATCAAACTTAAGTCATCAAAGCAGTAGGTAAGTTTTATCATACGATGTCATAATTGGAGATGCCATTCTACAAAATTCTTCATTCTTGCATCATCTTTCCTTCATCAACAGCCCAGTTGGCACTGGATGGTAGAAACATTTCTTGAATGGTTTGTAGTCTAGAAGGACAAATTTGTCTTATTAACCTATATTGTTCAAATGTTGAAGTTCATTTGGTTTACTGAATCTGTCATATTTGGACTACATGTCATCCAAGGCATGCCTAACTGGGTTATCCTGAATTCCTGATCAATTACATGTTGCTTCGTTCCTTCCCTGTATAGTGCTTTGTTTATAAAGCAATGGATTCCATTTAACTAGTTGTTCTTGATCTCTTCTTACAATATTCCAATTGATCTATAAGCCTCAAACCATTTAAATGTCTACAAGTTGACTACATGTTTATTATGTTAGACAGTGTATGCCCTTAGCTCTAATCAGATTAATGTACAAATACATTTAATGTAAATGAATAAAAGTATATTATTGTTCAATGCTGATATTAGTATGTTTTTGTGAAATTACCCCTTAAATTGGACACTTGTTAGACTTGTGTTAGTTTAGAATATTCGTAGCCGTTGGATAGACATTGGTGAGTTTATCTTACCAAGGCTGACACTGATGTGCTACCAAAGAAGTTAGGGCAGCTTGTCTAAATTGTTAGGGTTAAACCCAAAGCACATGTAGTGTGTTTAGATGAAACAGTGAACCCGGGCCATTTTTCTAGTTATGCCCTGAGCTTGGAGATTTATGGATAAAACTAGAAAATTACACATAACTCCTAAACTTGATTATGGTATTATACTAGGTGTTGGATTGGGCTATCTTTGATATACTAATTAATGAAATCCAACAAGGGTCAAAATTTGAGTATGTTGGGATAGTTTGAAAATTCATCTGAGTGGGTGATCATAGTGATATGATCGGCCATTTTGTCGAACAAAATGAATGATAGAATTTACACTTTGATGGAAACCTAAATTGCCGACAATGGATTTCAATTGTGTTTGAGATTTGGCGGACATTGTTTTAAAAAAATGTTTGCAAAAGTTTTTAATTCCTATGATCCATCCGAGTAGAGAGTGTGACACTATACCTTGCAGCCAAGGGAGATGTTTTTTTCTATTGGACAGTGTTTGATCATTACCTAATGGGCTTTATCTTACTTAAATCTATTATCCTTGGGTTTTCATAGGATGGCTGAGTTCAAGGATTATTTAGGTGTAAATGTTAGGCCTATATTGAGTTCATAGTGATGTGCTCGGGGGCTCATTGTGTTTAGCAGTGAATTCAACTGAGCCTTTTCATAGAAGTTGGGCTAAACCCATGTGGACTTATGTGACATCATTGTAGAGTCCCACGCCATATAAATCAGGCCTAAGTTGGCCATGCAATATCTTAGTTGAGCCTTTAAAGGAAACGGGCCTAAGGCCCATTGTTAATAAGATTAAGTAAGTTGTTACATGACAACTGTAAAATCTAAGTTTGAAATGGGTATAGAATACCCATCATCTTAGGAGGATAAGACTTATCTTTTAATAGAGTCCAAATCCAAATTAAATTTGGATAATCTCTTAATTTGATTAAGAGAGTGTTCCATATGGAGATAAAAGAAGAATAGCGCGAAACAGACTAGAAGACCACTCTCTCTTATTCTCTCTTCTTCTCTTTTGTCTTTCAATAAACCCTATCATCCTAGGCTTTCGAGGACTACTTGACATTTCTTCTGATTTTTGCAAGATTCAGAGGAATTTCAGGCTCACCTTCCCTAATACGATCCACGCTATTGGGTTGTAGTTTTGCTGAAAACTATGTTGCTGAATAAGCTTCACCTATACACTAGGTCATTTTTAGTGGAGGTTAGTTTTAGGACTGATTTAGGCGTGAACATCCACCTTGGGATTTGCTTTTGTGGTATCTGTATCAGGTACACATTTCCCTCTTTGTTTGGTTTCAAATCTGGTCCGGTTCAATGCAAGATCGATGTAGAAAAATGTAGTTTTTCAAAACATAGATAAATAGAAGGATTAGAAAATTTTTAAAATTTCGCCCAACCATCTAGCATGGCTATGTATATAATGGATCCTAACTCTTCCAACATCTTATAGATTATATCTTTCAATATCAAATTGAATGTGACAAGAGGATATTTACATTTTACAGATGAGAAGATTGAAATTGTACCAAATTTCTTGGTATGGGGTGAGTTGAAGAATTATTTCCCCACCATTTTCTTTGTCTATTGCTTGAAGACCATATTTTTAAGGGATTTTTGAACTGCAATCCCCCTCAGAAATCGAATTTGCAGCCCCCTAGTCTACTAGTAGCTCTACCTAGGGGTCGACTGAACGGTTATTAAAACCCCTATTTTTAACAGAACTGGGTTTATGTAATGGGTACAAAGGTGCTCGCAGGTATTTTGGGCCATAACCAAGTGGTTTACTAGCTCTATTGTAAGGCTAAAGCATGAATTGAAGGTGGTTCAGTTGTAATTTAACATGTTGAAGAATCGATGAATTAAGGGGAAATACTTGTATTTAAATAGATGAATTGAGGGTGGTTTAGCTGTAAGTTACAAGCAGAAGCATGAGGGTGGTTAATTTACAGGTTGAAACGTGTAGAGTTGTAATTTACGAGTTGAAGCGTGAATTAAATGGTGATTCAGTTCTAATTTACAGGTTAAAGTTGAAGGGAGGAGAGATCCATCCTATGGACGCCCAAAGATTGCGGAATAAGGGGCGAATTTCAAAAATTTTTCTCTCCCTTCAACTGAGAATCGTATTCCCTATTTAGAAAATCATATTTTCAAGGATCAACCTTGAACCATAAACTGAACCAGATTTGAACCAAAAAGGAGTGGGAAGGATTATACCTGATACGGAGAAGTAATATCTCCCAACGAAGGTGTTCACG